TGGTCCCTCAACCCTAAGCCGCATGGCCTTGTCTTCTGAACCCTGTCTACTGGCTGCACGTGCCCTGCCAAGATCAAGCTTCCCATGAACCCTGCACCCTGCCCGCAAACAAAAAAAAACATTTAAAACGAAGCACAGCCACAACCGTCACTCATAGCCGCGAGCCTTCCTGTGAAGTCACTAAACTGCTTCCCGCGCGGCCTTGCTTCAACTAGCTCAAGACGATGCCAATCGCGCGCTCCCTGGCAATTTCGGGCACTGGGCAAACGACCAGGAATTCGTTGGGATCCAATACAACAGATTCGCACTGAATTGGAGCAGCATTGTGGCAGCTTTTGGGAGACGGGAACATCTTGAAAGCTTTGTTGCATTGGCCGGGCATTTTCCGTTCACGACGGCCATACAGCACCACCTAGTGACCATCAAAGACGGCTGGGCTATAGGGGCCCAGAGAATTTTAGCAAGCCTTAAATTGCAACTATACAGGATGACTGATGGTTCACACACGGGTATTTGACAGCGGCATCTTATAGCCCACATCGTTCAGGGTTGAGGGCTCAGGCTGTGGAAAAAACAGACTTTGAGCACTGACCCGAACTAGCAATAGGAAGAAAAAATATTCCAAGGATTGTTGCCTTTGACTCATCATGGCCAGCTGAGAGCGCATGGGTGGCACCTGAACTCGACGTCCCCACAACATCGATGTGGGCTTCAACCCAGCACCCCGTACATGAGACTAAAAAACGCGCCGCAAGTCCCAGATTATGGCCGCATCATGGCCTCACTCTGCTTTTCCAGGGCATCTCGAAGGAGCTGGAGCAACACTAGAGCCTCGCGAAGATGCTTCGGATCGGGTCTGGAACTCAACACTCCTTCACTCTCTAGTCTGAGGTTTGTGGGCTTCAAGATCTGAAATGACATGCTACAGCAGTCCAAACTAACGTCCGAAGCAACGTACCAAAATGGAATCATGGCTGGCTGACCTTCACAGGTTAAAGGTTTTCAAGGTTTGGGCTTTGGAGCCTTGTAGCCCAAAAGGTCCAAGTGTTCGTGCGTGCGAAGCAAGTTGGATAAGTGTAAGCGTTTCGCGCTTTGCAGAGAAAAAACGAAGACTTCGTACCCAACATTCTAGGTCCAGTCCACATGCCAACACAAAACCCCCCTTGAACTCACTGAAGGGTCCAAGTACCCAGAAAGTATATGCTTCGGCCCCAAGATCTCTATAACGGACTGCACTTCGGCCCAAAAATGAGCATTGCACCCGTTGGGCTGGAAGATGTTAGATTCCAAACCCTGAAACTTAAACGCGACACGACCTTCAAAGCCTAGGGGAAAGCTTCAGCTGTGGCCTGAGGGGGAGCTGCATCCGCTGTCGCCGTGACTAGGACCTGGATATCAGGCTACCTCCAATTCAATTCCTCTGCTTTGGGGCTGCCATGATAGGAGTTCGGACTCTGTCAGGACTCCCAGAACTAGGCATTACTGGGTTTGGAGGGTTCAGACTGAAATAATATTGCGCTTCCGCATCTTGCTGTAGAACGGTGCTTTTGGCTGTACCAAGCTAGAGCTATGCTTTGCTTAAATCATGTCGGGGCTATACCTGAATCCTCAAGCCTTTACACGATAGCCAAAGCACTGCAACCCCAACTAAAGCCCCCACAACCCTGAACCCTCAAACAATCATTAAGCTCTGTAACCCTCAAACCCTAAGGCATTAAAGCCTAAACTTCTGGACGCCTGGCCGAGCAGTCCAAAAAAGCCCTCAGATCCCAGCTTATGATGCTTATCTGCCACTCTTCAGCAAGGGGTTTTCACAGCGCCTCACCCCCACAGCCGTCCATATAAGTCCCACTGTGTGCACACAGCAGTCCGAATGAACCATCGTTTCTTGCTAGAGCTGTGGAATCTTGCTCAACAGACTTTGTCGAGGTCTAGCGTCACAGTTACCCGCTCGCTTAGGCTTTGGGTTTTGGGTTTAGGCTTTGGCCCTAAAGTTTATATGATTCTTGCAACCCGAAATGCAAGACGACAACTCATTGTAGGGGCCTGCGTGCTGAGGCCCTACAATGGCCCTACATTACCTTACGACTTAGTTGACTGAAGAGCAAAAGACGGCTTCATTAACGTTAATTTGATTGATTAAAAGCTTACGACAAAATGTGTCATCTTGCGCATTTAGAAACCTGCAAGTGATCAACAAGATCTAAGTAATCCAACTGCAAAGCTCCAACAAACTCCAGGTATACACTGCGCAGTTCTGACATGGCTACTACCACTGCGCCTGCAGCATTGTGAGGTCTATCAGGAAAACTTCTTTGCTTGCTCCCACTTACATGATTACCCTAGAGACTAGTCAGAAAAAGATTCCCCCTTCCATACTTTTTGTTAATGGTATTCTCATCCCCTGCAACTCAATCAACAAAGAACTGAGTGGGGTGCGGACGGTGAACAAAAAACCTCTTCCTCGAAACACTCACGAGCATTACGTGGAGATCAACAGCATAGCAAGCAAATTTCAGAAACAGCCCAAGGCCCTCAGCCCCAAACCGCACCAGCTCAGCAAGCTCGAGGCCGTGACCAGGTCTAAATCACTCTGTGGAACTTCTCCACCCCAAGAGGTGCTGCCCACCACCTGTGGTTCCAGGTTTAGGGTTCAGAGCTTATATGAGGCTCAGGCTCAAGGTTTAGGCTTAAGTCGTTGAGGGCTCTAGAACCTGGGAGTCTTACACCTACATGCCGAACACGCCTAGAGCCAGGATGCCACGAAACGCGGGACCCAACTCTCAAAAACCTAGCTCGAAACGAAGAACCCTGTATACATTCCTGCACTATCGAGGACACAGCAGCTTGATGCGCGCTAGTTACGCCGCTAGTTGTCTACCACAACTGTACCCAAAGCGTCTACCTATCTCCTCTGTATCTGTGCAGTTGGGTTCAGCGTAGCATCTATTTGGATCCGAAAAAAGTCTTGCAAATACTTTGGAGCCTATTCTATACAATTCTGGTACGGGCACCTTTAACAGTTCATTAACAGTTCATTAACAGTTCATCAACAACCTAGTCCTGCAGTCAAACTTATTCATAAGTGATGCAGAGGTTCCTGCTTTGGTGACTCGCTAACCCCCTGCAAGCCAAAAAGTCATGAAAGCAAGTTTATGGGGTTATACCCACACATGAGCCATAATCTAAACTCCTTAAAGGGGGTTGTATAGGGGATTATATAGGGGAGTAGTACAAGGGTTATTAAGGGCGATACTAGGCGTTTAGACTATGGCTCACATCAACCTTAAGGTGTTGCACACCAGAAACTGCCTCGATTCTGGAGCCCTTCAACCTCTCCTCAGAGCTCGCCGCGAGTGCAGCCTTCCATCAGCATTCGGGCGTAGAGTTAAGGGGTTCGGGGTTTACGGGTTTGGGGGTTTAGGGGTTTAGGGTTTGAACTCGGGGCTTCGGAGCTTAGGGTCGAGGGTTCAGAGATTAGTGTCTAGGAGTTGGGAGGCCAAAGGCTGCAGGTGGCAGTTTCCGAATTCTGTCCCTGCAGATGTAAACCCTAAACCCCTAAACCCTAAATACCTATATCCCTAGACCCTAAATCACTGAACCCTAGACCCTAAATCCCTACATCCCTAGAGAACTTCTATACAGTACCGCTGCCTAAAAATCGTCAATCCCTTTCTCAGGACACAACTCCTCGGGGAACCAAAGGGATACTCCGTCTGTAACGTCTGAGACATTCATAAACCCTGAGCTCATAAAACAGCACAGCAGGGCGCCTCAACACAGCGTCTGAGCTGTTCGCGCTGAGGCTGCATCGCCTTCACCTTGGACGACACTTCCTGATTACATGATAATCTCAGAGGCTCCCTCATTTGACGGCACAGGCGTCATCCGCATTCTTCCTTCCCAACAAGGGTAGCATGACAATCGCAGTATGAACAGTTGTTGTACGAGTGCAAGAAACATTGAGAAGATCCCAAGGCGTACTTGAGGAAATTGTCAGACGGGTTGCAGGTGACAAGGCGTACTTAGACGGGTTGCAGGTTCTTTTTTCAAATTAATCACTGGCATTAGGATGTAGAGGTCACATAATGTGGGGTTTGCCTACCGCGGGTGTTATGAGCTTTCTTTGTGACCGCTTATGGTCTTCGCTTGCTCCGGCAGTTCCTGGCCTTCTTTTCAATCTTGTCCACAATGCCTCCAACCTTGCAAGCACGCCGGAATCTTGTTCAGAATGCCAAGCTTGTACTGCCTAAACCCTGAGAGTAACACCCAAATCCCTCATCCCAAAATCCCCTGCCCCCTAGGATGACCAAACGCCCGCGCCATGCCTGAGGAGTGTCAGATCCAGGTTTCAAGGAGTTGGGGCTTCGGGGATTTGAGCTCCAGGATGTGGGGTTTAGGGTTTGAGGGTTGCGCTTTAGGCTTATGATATTTAGGCTGCCTGTGTGGTCCAGGAAGCATGCCCAAGAAAACCTATAGCAGATTCTTTGGACGCGTCTAGTACGCCCAACAGTTTGTGCTCTGGGGTCTTCTAGTTGAGTCAAGGTTCTTGGATGGTTAAGGAAAAACCCTACAGGCTGCGGCAGGACCAAAGAAAGGGAAACAATGAGATATCTTGTGTGAGAAATATATCATACATCCTGTTATATCCTTGTCTTCTCCCGAACTTGCTGTGCTCAAGAAATCGGGCAGCAAAAAATGAGCAAATCGTCCTTGCACGACAGGCCCGCTAAGCAGACGGTCACCTGTTTCCAACAAATCTGCATTCCAAAAGGCGTAGTTCAACATGCCTACATTCTTTCAGACTGCGCTCAGGGCTTGAGCTAGTGGCTTTTGCCAGAAGCTCTTTGCCACTGATGTGTTTTTTGTTTGGGAATCTCGCTGACCGAATGAAGAGGACCATGACCAGGATGTCCCTCTCTGTCTTGGATAAGATGTCGCTCGGCCCATCCCTCCTCAAGATCTTTGTCCCGGGGTGGAAACATGATGTCCGGAAAGAATCAGCCGGTCAACTTGGAGATCACACCGCGCGTTAGATCGCCAAACTTGTAGCCTGAGTCGGGCGCGGCGCCTCTACTAGCCTTGGCGGTGGCGTAGCGTATGAGATTTAGGGTGGCAAGATTGATGTGGGGATTCCAGCTTTGTAAGTTGCGAGGAAATCCATGCAAAGGCTGCTTGACCGCAAACATGCAATCACAGGCAAGTTTTGTTCCTGTTTCTGTGACGATGACCTGCGGTGGCAATCCTCCAAAAAGGACATGTTTACCGAACAATGTTCAAGCAGCCTTTCCACTGGCTACAAGGCCTCTGCTCACGTCTCCAAACTTGTAACCATCGTTCTCCTAGGTTGTCCCGCTTGAAGAGCTACTGCTTCTTCTGCAAACTATGCAGGAACAGGGCCTTGCTTCACTGTGTGCCCAAGCTTCAGCTCAGCTGTTTTCCATTTGGAATTTAAAACGAAACAAAGCTGAATTCAGACTGTCCCCAAACCTAAAAACTATTCTTCGTGAAGTAGCTGGTGAAAATCTATGCTGGAAACCTGAAAACCTAAACCTTCTACAAAACCGATAACCCCAAACTGCAACTGTATTCCAACTCTTGACCCAATTTCTCCACCCCGCGCCATCTTTCCCTCTGCTATGGTTTCCTTCACAGGGATGCGAGGAGGTGCTTAAGCCAAGTTCCAGGACATCTTGAAATTGCTGTTTTGGATGGTCGGCGTTTTGGGTGCAGGCTTCTTGGCTTGGTCTCATGGGACTCTCTGCCAAGGATCTACGACATGTCCAACATTTGGGATACTGAACAATGCGTCAATCAAGCAAACTCTGTCCCAGAATCTGTTTGACAATGGCGGTTTGCACGCACCACCCAGACCGCCACCCTATCCCGCCACAATCACGATGATTTGTCGTCAAGACTAGAACTACATGTCTTTCTGAGGTGGTTCCCACGCTTACTCAAGCACGTAACCCTTATAGCACGCTGAAATGGACAAAAGTCTGCATGGGACCCCGATGCAGTTCTCTGATTGGCTGGGGGAGTGTGTGACTCGTGGCCGATGCAGTCCCGTGTCTTTTTCTGGAAACCCTAAACCTAAACCCTACATTCGTAGAGCACCCCTGCAGCATTTAAACGTATTTTGCGACATTGAGGGCCTCAATCCCCAGTCGTATAGCAAAAGCCCCAAAACTTATGTATTCTTGAACGAAATATTGATATATATATATACATATATGTATACAACATAACCCTTTCGCATATGAGGGCCTCAAGCGGAGTAACCACAGCTGCCGCATGGGCCGCTGATCGCGTCACCCAGCTGGGAGCCTCCGGAAGTCCAAGCGCCCGGAGCATTGCATTGCCTGGGCTGGGTTGTGTGGTTGGGGGTTGGGGCTCACGATCTACAGACTAGGGGCGAAGGCTTGGCAATTTCGGGGCTTAGGATTGAGAACGCTGCTTCCGCTGTGTAAAAGGCCCCCGACTCCCCACATCATGGGTGCCTTCAGGCCAATACCGAAATTTCACACAGATTCCTTGGGCTGTTGTGGGAATACTCTAGGGATAGCGTGGGATGTGGGAGTGGAAGTGCTTCAGCATCGCTCAGAACCTTTCGTGTCAGGGTCGAGTTAAATAACAAGATTTAGCTGTTGGACTTGTTAACAGAAACCACGACATACTCAAGCGTACTTGGTGCAGTACTCAGCCGCTGTAGTGGCAGCAGTTGTGGCGCAGGATGTCGTACTCGGGACCCTGCCAAGTTTGCACCAAGGCATCCAGAGCTGCAGTGACTTCCTCCCAGCGTGCAAGGCTTCGGTTTTAGGATTCTGGGACTGAATCTTGGTTCTGGGGATCTATGATGCATTGCTCGCCAGACCAGAACAAAAGATCTGAATCTCATATCCCCATTTTGGCCTTGATGAATGGTTTTCTGGAGTTTCTGGCTCCGTGCATGTGATTGGGGAGAACAGATGCCTCTTGGGACAGCGTGGTCGCTCCGATGGGGATGGACTCGCGGAAGCTGTGAGCCTCGCCTTGGCTTGAGGGTTTAGGGCCTTAGGGTCTCTTGTGCCGGGTTTCGGGTTCATGGGTCTTTTGCGAAACCTGTCGCTTATGTAGCAACGCGCTGTTGCACTACATTTTTTGTCTGGGAGGGACTAGCATGGAATCCTTCCTCTTACAACTTAAAGTTCGAAAATGGCGATCCAGTGACATTCCCGAGGGCCACAGGTGAAGACCCCGGTGCCCTCGTCGGTAAATCCATACGACCACTCTTCGCCTTGGCCAAAGCCCAAAATCATGTCAAGCAAACACGTACTGGCTTGCTGTTAGCGAACTTAAATTAAGTTACCATAATGAGTACATATAGTAAATCATAGGGTTTCCCAAATATACCAACTTAAGTTCAGTTCCTTAGCAGCAACCCGGCATAGCAAGCATTAATTTACAAATGCTTCTCAGCCCTCAGACAGCCAAAGGCTTGCAGTGTCCATGAATCATATCCGAGTCACCATTGATTTCAACAGCTGCGTGGTATGCGCCTGCACCAAGCGCGCGGAAAAGCTTGTTGGCGTTCTTGAGAACCGGGTGGCCACTGACATCGTAGACGTTCAGAATCACTGGTATACCAGCCATGGCGCGCGCCAGTTCTTTTGGTTGTTTGCTGGTTTGTGTTCGCTGCTCAGCAGCACTACCGCTAGGAAGTCAAACAGCTTTCGGAACCCCCTCGCGCAGTCAACTGAGAATCGCCCAGGCTAGGATCTGTGCCAGTGCCGTAAATACTGCATGAAGCTGTAGAAAGGTTAACATCTCCATACAACTTCCAAACTATAGCCCTACATGCCCCGGCAAGTGCTCCTCGTAACTACTGTGTATTCAGCCAGTCTAGCAAACTGTAACGAACGTACTTTACAGTCTGCTGCACATAAAGATTTCCCGCAAGCTCAGTCTACCAGAGCCTCAAACCACGGAGTCAATTGCGAACTTCGCAACAGGGGACGCGGGCCGTGGGCCCACAGAGTCTCAGCTGCACAGTTTGGGAGCCTGAATAATTTGGAATTGTATGCCCTCGTAGCCCCTTACGTAGCGGAAGAAACTTTTACCTGCAAGCAGGATTCCAATTGTTCAGGCCCCTCCCCTATGCCTGCAATAAACAAACAACATTGGGTGCCCCGTCCACTTTCACGGCTCTGCCCTTGCAACGCCTTGACAACGCGCGCATACCAGCATTGGAGATCCATTTCCTTAAAATGGGCCTGCTACTGAACCTCTGGCAAAGCACCACAACCTTGAAGATTGAAAATCTCAGGCGAAGATTATCTCCTCAAAGGTGAGGGTTACAATGCCCCTACTACAAGAGTCAAGGGATCTCATTACTGACAGCTCTCTGCATCCTTGAACGTCAACCCCGCCGGACTCTGAAGCCCTAACCCACCTTGCAGCTGAGCATGTCTGAGGCCTAGCACATCCAAGGCCCGGACCATTTCTGCCACAGCTGGAGGACAATCTGCACCTTGGCTAGGGATCTTGATGAGAACATAAGCTTCATAAGTGACCGCCATGGCAAATACAAGAATACAACAGCATTGGTGACAATCAAGATTATGACCTCAGAAGACAGCAGTAGCAGTAGCAGCAGCATCACGAAGATTTGGTGTCGGGAGGCAACTGGCTGCGTGAGGCAATTTAATCTATGCACGGATGGCGGAAGATTTCCAGCGGAATACCTTGACTGTGAGACTGAGTCAAGGGGCGAGCTGCTCTGTATGGCGATTGCTTGATTTGATGACAGTCTGCTAAGAATTATAGACGTGACAAAGCCAAATCATCTACCCAAAATCTCAAGGTCCCGGAAGCGCTGTGATCCCGCCACCGGCCAATTGCATGCACTACTGTTCTTGGGAATCTAGCTTTTTGACATCCTTCCCCTGACCCTGTCCGGAACTCGAGTCTATACATTATTGAGTCAGTGCAGGGATATTTGGAGCCCAAGGCCCTTTTCTACTTCGACGTCTCTGATAAAAAATCGCCAAAAGGTGAACATCATACCAAAGCTCACAGGATAAAGTGTCAGGAATTTTCCTGTATAGGGTTTAGGGTTTAGGGAGTTTTCCTTTGTACCCTTAGGGTTTGTACGTCTGGGGTTTGGGTCCCTAAGCCCTGGAACGTGGCCCTGAATAAAGGTATTTGGGACGCAGAACCTAGGGTTACAAACATTCTGGGTACAAACTTAAAGCCTTTGAAGTGAGACAAGTTCTGCAAAGGAGCTCCTAAAACCTTCACCACAGCCCTAATCTTCAGCCCTGAACGCTATACCCCGCACCACTCCAAGCGCCCAAAACCCAAACTGTAAACTTTCAAGCTGAAACTGTAAATTTGCAAAAAAATGCGCACAGGTGGGACCCAGGCCGAATAACGCAGGGCATGGTTTTGCCTAGGCCAAAGGGGGAGGTTCTTTGGTCATAGGCTCTGGGGTTTGCAGTTAAAGGGAGAAGACGGTATCTCACTTGCCATTGATCTGCGATCCTTAAGCGTCCATATGGCAATCCTGGGTCAGTGTTTGGGCTGCTTGTTGCCCGCGATGTCGAGTCGTTTTGCAATCTTTTGTGAGTTTAGCTATTGTTTTGCTATGAACCCTGAATCTAAACAGGTCTGAAAGTGTAGGTTCAGTGGTGAAACACGCAACTTCATCGCAGCCTGAGATACGACCATAACTTATGCACAAGTCCAAGTGGAAAAGGGTCATGACCGTCCAGACCCCGGAATGCGATCTGCAGGTTGAACTCACAAGATTCGAGACATTGGTGGATCAGTAGATGAAAAACACGTGGGCGGAACTTAAGAACCCCAACTCCAGGAAGTTAAGGAACATCATCACCAAGCATTCCCATTCCTGTGCATTAGTTGTGGAAGCTCATCCCGCAGACACCCGTGAGCCTCAACAACTCGGAACCCTAAAGGTCCCTTGAAGCCTAAAAAAGTCCCTGGGCTTCTGCTCTAGCTTGATAGCTTTAAACCGCACCCAACACTCCTGGCCTCTGCTGCTTTTGGCTTACTTCCTCACGTGGCTGATGCGAGAAGGGCGTTGCGCTATAATAGCTTCAGTTTCCTCTTCCAAGGTTAAAGGTAAGGAAAACGCAGACTACCAGATATACATATCCTATGTGCAGGAAAAGAGAGCAGCTTTGATTTCTCAACTGGCAAAAATGGCACAGAGCTTTTGCATTCTCATGGACCACATTCTCACGACTGTTCTTGCAGCTACTGTCTTGGTGCTTGCCGACGGAGCGCTCATGAAGATGACTGTGTACACCGAACTTTGGGTCTCAGAAGATGGAAGGCCTACGCGACTTTGAGCCTTGAGAAGACGAAGCACAGGATGTGAACATAAAGGTCGGTACGAAGTGAAGAGCGGGTCAACATCAACCATTTACCCACCAGCCTCCAAGTCAAGGTCTTGCGGCCAACATGGTTCAGCTTTAAGCTTCCAAGCGTGGGCTGAGGAGTTACTTCACAGCGCCGCTGCTGCTGCTGGAGAAGGAAGAGGAGGGGAAGGAGGAGGAGGGGATTGACGCCGGGGCTACAGCAAGCCTGAAGACACAGACAACCGACATCAACCTTGAATGGGGCAAGTGTAGCAAACCAGTCCAGCATCCGAATACTACCCGGGCTGTGTGTAATCCACACACAGCCGCCTATGAATCTCTAAGTAACCCTAACTTGTCAGCCCTGAACTGCTCCAGTAGCCCTACTTAGCGCTGGTAACTCCGCCCGTTCCACAGATCAAGGTCACAAAAGCCAAAAAATATACCGGACATCTCTACGCTAAGGACCCATGAAAGCTTGGACCCCACAAAATATCCAAACGATGGAGGCTTGGGTTTAAAAGCAACCCTGAACCCTAAACCCTAAGGACCCATGCTCATGCCCGAACCTGGAAGATGAGCCTGCTTCGGAGACTCTGAGACCCCGGTCCTTGTGAAACGCTGCCTGAGGCCACCTTTTTAGAAGCGGCCTCCCAGCGACATGGTTTAGTGTGTGGGTTCTGAAAGATCTGTAAGATCATCAAAAAATGCAAAGTCTCAGCTTGCAGCAAAGGAAGAACACCTGTTTTATCAGGATGCAGCTCAGCTTGTTTACGATCTATATCCCTTTCTGTTGGCTGAGATAAGTACAATGCAAACTCGGGGTGCGGACACCTGCAGAGGGCAAGACCGTGGAAGTTTAGCAGTCACTGCTTGGGCTCTTCCGCCTTTAAAATGTGATCAAGTTCTGTCTCTGCAACCACGATCCCTATGAAAGTGCGGAGTCTAGTGGACCTGCAACCCTGCACTAAACGCCCTTTGAGAGAGTCACTGATCACTAAGCGTCGAGCCCTAAACTCTGATCCTATAAGCTAAGTCGTCCAGATCCTGGAACCCAAAACACAATGTCATTTCACTGGGACCCGAGGGAAACGTAGGAAAAATGACAGGGTTAAAGAAGTTTTTCCCAGGCTTCTTCAAGTGAAACTCCCGTGTCATCTCCGTTGCTTGCTGGCCTGCAGTGTAGGAAATTCCACCTGGCAGCCAGGGGGGAGCATTGTGTGTCAAATAGCTGTTATTGGCTTGGGGGCTCACTGACATTCGCGGTTCAGGGTGGAGGGACGCACATTTGCAACAACACTTCTTTGGCTCAAAACAGCTCCCTGGCTGCTTGAGATGGTAGCCGCCATGAACAGGAATGCAAAACACCTCTGAACACCCTGAACTCTGAACCCTAATGCCTGTCGTAAAACCAAACAGCAAACCTGTAACTGATCCCAAAGCCCTGAACCCTAAACCTGAACCTTGAACCCACTTGCTGAACCCTGAGACCGCCTGCGAAGTGCACTTCCCGGGCGAACCTTTGTCCACGGGCACCTTGGTTTGGATCTCTTGCAGCGGGCAAAACAGAATACCTAAGGCACAGTTCAGAAGTTGTATGACAAAAGTGACCCTGTCTGCAGAACTACCCACCAAAACTAGTGGACTTCAAGGGCCTTGAGGGAATTGCACGGTTTCACGAGCCATCTAGCGCAACACTCAGGAAAGCTAGGAAAGCTCTTGCCTGCATGGTAGGAATTCGACGCGCAAAGCAAGCTCATACTATCTCAACACGCTTGAGTCGGAATCACCTGTGGTCCTCTTTAAGTATCCCACATCCCTCAATACGAGGCATGGCCGTAAGGCCCCACAACTCGATAAATAGATCTTCAGGTAACATCTTGCGTAACACATGCAGGCGGGCCTTCTGCAGGGCCAGTACATTACAGAAAAGCACGGACAGTAAGCTCCAGTTATAGCCACCCATGAACTTGGAAGCGGGACTTTCCTATGCGAAGATCTGACAAGCGGCCTCAGCGGCTGCCGAAGCAGCGTTGGCAGTGGGCTTACCTTTGGCAAAGGCTAGGATTGAGTGCAGGGTTGAAGGTTAAAGGCATTTAAGTGTCAATTTTGGTGCGGCCTCTAGTCCGTCCAGTCGCAACAAATACACAGAAGTATATCAGCCGTAGAATGCGCACTCCCCAAAAAAAAGCCCGACCGTCGTTACCTTGGAGGGACCCGTGATCTTGTTGTGAAACTGCCCCCCATATTTGCCATGGTGGGAACAAGAAG